AGTGCATTCTCTTGTAACTATGGCTTGCCCTTGTATTATGGACTTGACTGGAGAGACTCCCCCAGTGTAAATGAAGTGCTTTATTAACAGCCAGGCAGCAGGGGCGGGAGCCCTCCATGCTGGCAAACGCCTGCCATGCACTGGTAATAAAGGCTTTCTCCAGAGGCAGAGTGTGCTGAGCGCTGAGAGGAGGCAGCAGAAGTAAACAAGGTGTTTTACATTCAGGACAGTTCCTCTCTCATCTTGAAGTGTGTAATTGTGTTCTGGATAAATGATGGCAATAAAAAAAAATCAGAAGTTGCTCATAAGGAAATAACCCTTTTTAAAAACAAGTAAATTTTCCGTGGCAGAGCCGGTAGAACGTTGGCAACAAATCCTGACATTAGCTGGTGAAAAAAGTCCAAGCTCTGTGGGCTGGGGAATCTAACAGAACAGTGTTCAAACACCAGCTTGGTTACTTAGCTAAATGACATCGAGCAGCTTAGTTCAGTCTCTAGGAGTCTCGAAGCTTCTTGTTTGTTTATTTATCTTCATCTTTACAATTGGATATGAAAAGCTACAGGAGTTTGAGAGTAAAAACTTTGTAAAGGAGCTAGTCCAGTTCTTAGCACTAAAAGAACATTTATTCCCTTCCCCGTTGCTCATGCCTATGTTTTTCTTTATGGTTTGCCCCATCCCTTCCCTAAGGTGGCTGTATTATGGACTGAGAAGCTTCCAGTTGGTGCTAGGAATTTGTGTAATGCTATGTAAGTAGACCTTATAAAAAACAAAATTTTGGACCCGGCACGATGGTCTAGCAGCTAAGTCCTCGCCTTGAATGTATCAGGATCCCATATGGGCACTGGTTCTAATCCCGGCACCTCTACTTCCCATCCAGTTCTCTGCTTGTGGCCTGGGAAAGCAGTCGAGGACAGCCCAAAGCCTTGGGACCCTGCACCCCTGTGGGAGACCTGGAGGAAGTTCTTGGTTCTGGCTTCATATGGGAGCAGCACTGGCTGGTGCAGTCACTTGCACCATCATCGGATGGAAGATCTTCCTCTCTGTCTCTCCTCCTCTCTGTATATCTGACTTTGCAATAAAAATAAAATATTGAAAAAAAAACACAAAATTTTGGGACAGAATTAATAAACTATGTAAATAGAAAATTGAATTCATAAGGGAGTAATGTACAAATAATATCCCCATCTCCTATTCTTGCCCTAACCAAAGTGGCTATAATGGTCACTACTCATGATTTAAGTACATTATGTCAGTGATAATGAGATATTTTGATGAGCTTTCTCTTTATTGTGATGAATGCCATGGCAATGTCTAAGTGTACCATAGGCAACTTCCTTGGTGGGCCTCTCCAATACCCGATTATCATATTTAGAGATTATGGGATGAATCTGGAAGTTGTGAGGAATACAGTTGCGATATAAATTGAAATCCAGTTTGATTCTGACTTTAAGTCTCACCCAAGTACAACTCAAAAATGTCTTTATGTATCATTGCTCTGTCCTCAGAATAAATGACCTTGCTATTAATAGTCTTTATTGGATGGCTACAGTATAGATTGTATGTATTTGGTTTCTTTTTCCCAGGATGTGTGCTGTTTCTGGCTTGAACACTGTGTCTGCTAATTGAGTTTTAGAAAATCAGTAAGATTTTTTTTAATGGATTCTTTAAGAAAGGCATGAAGTTGCTTGTTTGTATCCGTCTGCTACACATCGAATTGTGTTTTCTAACAACCTAATTGTGGTGATATCTGTTTCAAGGGGAAATTTATCAAGTCACAGTGCACCCTTCTGTTTGGAAGAAAGATTTGAGGATGTGAGCAGAAATTATTTTTACATAAAGGCTTCAGGCAGTTAAGAGAACTGACATACATACCATATTTTCATCACTGTCATTCACATCCTTTGCCTCAAATAAATAGGTCATTATTATTCCATTGCAGCCATCTTATGGAGCCTCAGTGTTTGGAGCTCTGTTTAATATAACTGCCATCCAGCTGACCTGTATAATTTATTGGTGATTTTCATAGAATGACATGTTTGGGCCACTACCATAAGCCAATGCACTTTGATATGTTTCAGCAAAATATCTCATTATCACTTATAAATTTTTTAACATTAGTATTATAACCAAGCTAACAAAGCTAGGGACTGTCATTTTCTGAGACGCTGGTTTTCAGTTGGCGTTAACAATTTCAAAAAAATAAAACAGTAGTGTTAATGATACCACCATGGATTTGCAAAGCCCATGATGCACCAGAACAGACCAAGAGCAAACATTTGCAAATGTAAAATTTTACCTGAATTATTCATTCAGTAAGGACCCAGAAGATTTAGTCTTACATCATTTAATTATAAATAATAATTATTAATGTTTAGATTTTTTTTAAAAAATAAGAACACATGATTCTATTTTATTGTCTTCAGCTCACAACACAAAATGATGCTCAATTCTTACTTGTTCCTTCTCCATATAGAAATGTTTTATAGCCTTAACAAGAATCTAGTATATATATATATATATCCACCTTCCCTACCCCTGCCATCCTACCCTAACCCAGGATGTAGTAACTTTAGAATCTCAAATAAAGAGCTACAAATTAAGGCATCTTGGTTATCTACATAGGAAATACTCTATGAAAGCATAATTGCCCCTCAGTAGGCTCTGAGTTCTGGTGTCTGCAAGGTGGTCGTGATCTGTGAGGTCTTGGTGTATGGCACAGAGGTCAGTGCCTGTGAGTCCCCAGGCAGTGTTCCCACGTATACATTTTAATAACTTTGAGATTGTTGCTTGTGCTGTTAATAAACTTCCTTTAGGCCGATGAAATTCCTCCTACACTGCAGTAAGAGTACATTTGGTATTTCGGTCTCTGCAAGGCAAGTTATAAGCACTTTAATTGAGCAGTTTAGTGTTCTTACCAGAGTGGGTTACCGTGAGAATGTACGGGTGTTGTCCTTTCTCCTTGTTGACTGACAGGAATTCCCTTCTTGTTCTCTTCTCCAAGCTGGGATTAGACTGCTCCCTCCAGCTGGGTTCTAAATTCTGTGTTTGTTACAGTAATCCACCAAAGAGAAAATTGGCACCCCTTGATTTTTTTTTTCTGATCACTCTTTCTCTTTATTGTTATTTCTTTTTAACACTCTTCGACCACTAAGCCCCGCTTGCTAGATCAAGTTAGGGAAAATGCACTCTCTTCCTCCACTACAAGTCCTGTGGGCTGTGTTCTCACACCCGGTTAATTCCTTGGATCGTAGAGCTCAAGGTCGGGTTTCATTTTGGTTTGCTCTTCAAGTTCCAAGAATTTTTGTTTATCTGTGGCTCGAATAATTTTTCCCCTTATCCTTCCAGCTTCCTCATTTCTAATCCTTTGCCAGAGGCTGGTCTATTTCTAGGTGGATTTGGCTTAAAGCCATCTTAGACACCCTTCTCAAACTCCCCTACCGTGTCCTGCCAAAAAAGGATCCTTCAGCAGAAATGTGATAGCAGGTGGAAATCCTCCATTTATTCTAATTACATCTCTATTTATGCTGCTTTAATTTTTTTTAGATTGGTGTTTATTTTTGACCTTTGTTTCTTAATGTGACAGCTTTTCCTAATGGAGAGAATAAGCCACCCTGAGTTGATACATAAAAATGCTAGAGAGAGCTACTGTAGAATGGAAACTCTGTGTCCTTATTCTTGTATGCACACTGCTTCTCACACATACAGTGTCTTAATAAATGTTTGCCACATCCAGAGAAATGATGATGATGATGATGACAGTAATAGTGATGACAGCAACTACCACTTACTCCTTTTCACGAGAAGCTAAATACAGTACAAAATGCTTTCTATTTATTAGCCTTTTTGATTCTTCTAACAGCTCAATAGTTAGCTTTTCATTATTATCCCCATTTTGCAGATGGGCAACTGATTCAGGAATTCTGAATAACTTTGCTGACTCACATTGATAAAAAGCCATCTTTATTTTTCCCGATTGACCGTTATACCCACTGCCTAGACCGCACTGTCTGTTCTGCAAGTATCCACCCACATGGCAACTTCTTAAAGACCAGGACAGTGTTATATACTTCTTCATCCTCTGCTGTGCCAGGTGCAGAATTGGACACTCAAAAATTGCTTCATCCTTTGTTTCTGAATTGAATTCTCTCCTCCTACCTGTGCTATGGGTCATTTAGGGCATTTATGAGGCGTCCTAGCTGGTCACTAATCTCTCGAGCAACAAACTGGAGCAGATCTGAAGATAAGCCTTCTATCAGCAGATCTGAAAGCCTTGACTTTTTGACATGTTCTGAAAAAGATTTTCCAGATAACTGCCAGCTGTGGTTTACAAAAGGGGAGTGGTTCCGGTGCTGGGGATTTGGTGGAATGTTGAGAAATTTTACGTTTCTGAGAGCCAAGTAATGAACTTTGAACTGTGATTCCTCCCAGGAGTTTATTGCGATCCCTAAGAGTCACAGTCAGTCAGGTCTTCACTCCCACACAATGAATAACCAATCTGTCTGTCTTTTGGAAACTTCAACATCCACTAACAAGATGAAACTATTTGTTGAGCCCTCCTACCTCCTTCTGTTAAGTAGCCCCTTGAGTCTTCTGTGAGATGACTGGCTAGCTTAGCTCAAGGACGTGTAAGCTAAGGTTGACTAGATGCCTCTTACCTATGTCATTTGTGAGAATCTCAGCTCCTCAAAAAGCCACTATTCGGATCTTTCTGATACCTCCTCAGTCCACTATTCAACTAGGATAAAATACTGAAGCCTGCAACCTTGATATCATAACATTTGACAGCAAGTTCAGCCAAGGATTGGCTGTATTTTTTATCTCTAGGTCTGTTCCAGGTTAGTAGTCAATTTCTGGACTACTCAGAAAGATATTAAAGTCATACCAAAAATTGCTATTTGTGTTCTTTTTGTCATAATGTTTATCTTTCATTGTAATCGATCCAGTTGACTAAACTTTAATTAGTAGAATTTTTTTCCACTTTCTCTCCCTTTGTTTTTAAGGTGATGGACAGAATTTGTTTACGAAAGACGTGACGGTGATTGAGGGAGAAGTTGCAACCATCAGCTGCCAAGTCAATAAGAGTGACGACTCCGTGATTCAACTACTGAATCCCAACAGGCAGACCATTTATTTCAGGGACTTCAGGCGTAAGTTTCCACCCTTATGGTATTAGATGGCAACTTTTTTTCCTACATGTTGTCTTGATGCGGAGATTGCTAAGACCACCTTCTTTTAATTTAATGTTAGATGCTTAAAGTGTAGTCAATTCTTTAGAGGGAAAAAGAGACAGGCAATCATAATCTTTCTACATAATAGAAATCTTGAATGGTCCCTTTTAAATGTAAGGCAGTCTTACTTTGCAATAGGAATTGATTGTAGTAATTCAAGGTGAATTGCAATTGAGTCCCAAATACTTAGCTGACACAAACAACTTGAATGGAGTAAGGCAAGGAAAATGTAGCATTCTGAAAGGTAATCTGTTTGGGTTGGAGATTGAAGTTTCCAAGGCAATCTATGCCTATAAAGACAAAACCAAATGTCCTCTCACGGTACTCTAGTGTATGAACGCATCTGTATGCTAGTCTTTCCAGTTGTAATGTAACAAAAGCCAATTATCAAAACCAAATTATGTCTAATAAAAATGGTTCAAATGGGTGTCAGGGCTTGGTAAGACCAAAATAACAAAAATCAAGTCTTTCAGAAAAATGCTATTTGAGAACATTGACCCCTGTCTGGCTGCTTGCCCCTTTTCTCCCCCAAGTCTGTGTGACCTATGCAAAGAGTTGATAAACCTAAGGAATGTAAAATAATGAAGGAGTTAAAAAAAGGAGAGAAACCAGCTTATTCCTTTTTCCCCCAGCTTCTTATTCTTAACCTCAGCTTTTGTCATTATATGCTTAGTTAATTTTTGCCAAAATTGTTAGAGGATTTTAAAAGTAGACTTTTGAAATACATCAGAAACCTGTGTACATTGCTTTTGTGGTGATTTGGATTTTGTGTTTGATGCCTAATCACTTCTGTATGGTAAAGCTGAATGTAGCTCAAAAACTTCAGGAGGCATTTAAGGCCTGTGCTTGGCATTTGTAAAATCCTATTAGATATAGAGTTGTACCCAAGTTAAACAAGATTATTTTATTATAGCATTTTTAAAATGCTTTCTTATTTTGCTTTTGAAATTTTTATTAGTAATCTGGAGCCATTATCTCTTTGAGGTCTTGGAATTTTGGCGGCCCAGGAGAACTGGTGGGCTCTCGTTTCTGAAGTTCCAGTTCAGAAGGCTAAGAGAGACCTGACATTCTGTATCAGGGAACTTAGGGCCTATTCTTGGCTTTCTGTTTTTTTATTTTGTCTATTCTTGATTTTTAAAAAAAAACTGAAGCAGTTTTGCAAGTATATGTAAAAAGGCATTGATTCCTAAAATTATGTGTCTGTATATGTTTGTGTACTTCAGGCATGCACCTATATGCGGGAATTTCCTTTAGACAAGGTATTTCATCTGAATGAAATTATTCCAGAAGCCTAGAATAATAGGTCAATGAGTATAAAGAAGTACCCAACAGGCACAGTCATACACTTTTCCTACCGTATGGCTGCCTTGCTAGTCCTCAGACTTTTTTCATATCTCCTTTAAGGAAGACAGAGTGTCTGTTTTCTTCCCCACAACCATTGATCTCTGTGTTCTGATTCACAGCTCTGAAGGACAGCAGGTTTCAGTTGCTGAATTTTTCTAGCAGTGAACTCAAAGTATCGTTGACAAACGTCTCAATTTCTGATGAAGGGAGATACTTCTGCCAGCTCTACACCGACCCGCCACAAGAAAGTTACACCACCATCACAGTCCTGGGTAAGACATGCTAGTGGGTTTGTCGTAAGAAATGAGGTGGGAGAGCCCCTTACTCTGAGAGATGGCTTCCAGCAGAAAGGAGGTAGTTAACAGCGAATGTTCCTCTCAGACTTGTTTTAGGAAGAATCACCGCCCATCTTGCTGAATTTTAAAAATAGCCTATTTTACCAAATGCTCTAAGGAATGGCAATCAGCAGTCTTTAGAGATTCCACCTGCTCTTGGGTTTCAAACCTCAAGCTTCACAAGCAAAGATCAAGAGAATTTAGAGCCCTCAACTAAATCACTCACCACATGAAAAATCACAGCTTCTAATTCTAAGGGTGTTTTTTTTTTCCTCTGTGGAGGAGAGGGGAAAATGGGATCCAAGTCTGTGCCCCATGCCAGAAATCTGCTACAAACTCTGCCTCTTGATAGTTCTTTCTGAATTACAGCCCTGTTCTGATGTTGTTGATCTCCTGTTCATTGGCCTTAGTTATTGTCTTATTAATCTGTTGTACTCCAGAATGTGCTGTTAAAAAAAAAGGCATGACCATAAAGCCTTACTTCACCACATAAGGCAACCATTGGACATAGCAGAGTTCAGTGCGCCTGAAGATGTAATACATGTGCAAAAAAGTGTTGGTAGACTGCTAGATATTCCTCTAGTGGGTTGAGCGTCTTTGTGACGGTTAGCAACATTTCCATGTTTGTATTTTGATGCAGTCCACACATGTTTCTGTGCTGACGATGGGGCTGATTTGGTCACCTTTTAGCCAAGCTTGTTCTCCAGGACATTACACAGACTGATCCAAATTTTTTTCAAAGTGAATTTTCAAGGACATATACTATAGTGTGAGGCAAGATCTCTGATTTACAACTTTGGGAAGATGATGAATCAAAGTCTATTTGATGCGGCAGACTGCAGCTTTTCAGTGTAATGATATGAAGATTAAAGAGGGAAGATAAATATAAAGGACATTTGTGCTCAGTGTGTGTGCACATATATGTGTCTATGGATGTTCATACTCAGCTGCTGCCTCATTGCTTTATTTAAACACAGCTGTAAAGGGGAGATTTTTGTATTTGTTAAGCTAAAACATGTCCCCAAAGCTAACATATATGCTCTTGATAAAAAGCATACTAATTTTAGAAAGTCATATTTAAAGTCTCTCTATGCATTTTCTGCTGTGTTTAATGATGATGACTTTCAGGTGTATACAGTTGTCACAGTTGTGGTTTTAATAGAAACAGTAGTCAGAGAAGATTTTGCGGGGGGGGGCTGACATTGCAGCATAACTAGTGAAGCTTTGCCGGGGATGCCAGTCAGTATAGACTATGGGAGCCAGTTCAAGTTCCAGCTGTTCCACTTCCAGTCTAGCACCCTGACAATGGCCTGGAAAAAGCAGGGTGAGATGGCCCCAGTGCTTGGACCATGGCCGCTGGCCTTGGAGACCAACAGGAATCTTCCAGCTTTGGTATGACTCAACCTTGACTGAGGAACGAACCAGTGGATTGAAGATCTCTCTGTAACTCTTAATAAATTATAAATAAATAAATAAATAAATCTTCAAAAAAAAGTATCACTGGATGTCTGTTCTGCTATTCTGCAGTCATGCAGATGTATCAAATTCACAGGCATGCATTTAAAATGTTCTCCGTATCTTTTTCTGTAAGAGTTTTTGAAAGCGCAGTTTGCTTTTGGTGTAAGTCATTAGCTGAACAGACTATGAACTGAAAATCTACCTTTTGACCCCCACCATCATTCATGGAATTTTCACAAAAGTAACATCAGTAAAGTGAAATTTATGAGAGAGGGACCTAGCACTATGGCTTAATGGCTAAATCCTTGCCTTGCACATGCTGGGATTCCATATGGGTGCTATGGCCTGGGAGAGCAGTAGAGAATGGTCCACTGCCTTGGAACTCTGCACCCACATGGGAGACCTGGAAGAAGCTCCTGGCTCCTGGCTTCGGATCAGCTCAGCTCTGGCCATTGCAGCTACTTGGGGAGTGAACTAGTGGACAGAATTTCTCTCTGCTCTCCCCTTTGTAAAATCTGCCTTTCCAATATAAAAAAAAAATCTTAAAAGAAAATATATGAGAGGACCTGAAAAACTTCATGGAAGAGTGAAATTAAGAGGATGAATTTATTTTAGTGTAAGAATTTTTTCATAGCACATGAAAAATGGGTATTATGATAAGACTTTACACAGATTTCAAAATTATTTTTGCACCAAAATGAGCTTGTATGTATGTATGTATGTATGTATGTATTTTGAAAAGTAGAGTTACAGAGAACAGGAGAGAGTACAGGAGAGAGAGATTCCATGTGCTGGTTCATTCCCCAAATGGCCACAACAATCAGAGCTGGACCAAGCTGAACCTAGGAGGCAGGAGCTTCTTCCAGGCCTCCCACATTTCTACAGGTGCTCAAGCACTTGAGCCATCTTCCGCTGCTTTCCCAAGCCATCAGCAGGGAGCTAGATCAGAAGTAGAACATCTGGGATTTGAACAGGTGTCCATATGGGATGCTAGAAAGTTAAACATAGTGGCTTAACTCTGCACCGCAGTTCTAGTCCCTAAATTCACACTTTCCATTCCAGTTTTGCAGTACTTGTGCTTATAAGTATTTTGAATTTTTAGAAAATTTTACTGTGTATACCTGTAATTATTATCTTAGTTTCATGGAATGAAAATCGTAATGGCCAAGGTTAGTCATCTTTCCCAGACTACAAAGCACTCAGTTAAGAATCAAGCACTTTTGAACTTGAAACAATTGTATTATTCCACCTCACAACCCTTGTGTGTTCTAGTCCATGTCATTTTCTGTGAAATCCTAAATGCTGCTGTTTCAGTATCTCTTTCTTGAAGATTCACATCTTTTGTTTTCAGGAATCTGGCCATTGGCAAGCATTCACTGCCTGCCTGGTACATTTGTTCTTAGAACCATTGCATTAGACCAGCTTGACTATGAATAATACAATCTGTGCTTGGGAGTTGGCACACCAGCAATAAACTGTTAAGAAGCAGTATGCTTGTAATCCTTTTGGAGGTTTCGTTATTCTGGAAGTAACAGGTTCCTGTTTCTGGTTTATACAAGCATTAACTTAAATATAATTGGAAGTAATACTACATGTTCTTTTGCAGATATTATGTATTCATTTAATATTCTACCCATTGAATTCACTCTAGGATTCCTTGACAGAAGAAAATTGTTGTCATCAGTGTTTGAGCCTTTCATATTCCAAAATCTGACAATTTCTACTCATATTCATATATTCAGACCTTCCTAAGGTTTAGGGTTTTCAGATGTTATAATGAATGAAGAATGGTATATTAGCATCTTCGTTGAAAAGCCTCCACAAGTACTTACACAGCTGTCAAATCTCTTGATAGTTTGAAAATGCTCATTTCAGTGCATGTATCTATTAGTTATTTGATGCATTCAGAAAAAATTTCAGCATAATTATAAGATATAGGAATGTGTGTTTGTTAATTTTATTTGTGCTATTCTATAGTTACTCTGACAGTTGCATCTTATCCATATATAAGCTGAAAATCCTGCTGTGGTGTTTTGTGTGAATTTGGGTACTTTTTAGGGTCTTCACTCATCCCTTCCACCTGTGCTGATTTCATTTCTTTCTCCTGAACATGGTATAGGAGTTTCCTTATTCATAAGAAGAGATGAATGAAAAACTATGTTATTTTAACATTAATATCCTTACTGATAATAGTAGCTAATATTATTACTGTCTTTCTAGGATTAGTGTTCACTCGTATAATTCCAGGAACAGGAGAATCCAATTATTTTAAAGGGTCTTGGAGTGACAATTCACATACTGATCAGCTTTAAGATTCTTCATTTGTTTCAATTAATGTGACTTCATCTTGATATTGCTGGGTTTTAAAAACGATATTATAGGCGTAATGTTTATAACCAGCACTCATACACTTAATCTTAACTAAGAAGAAGCTTGACATATCATGCTATTTTCTAACATTTCCGTCTAGGTGATTTCCATTCACGTTTTTATCTGTATGCACCTCCTTAGATAGGGCTTTGGTTACTTTCATTAAAGAATACTGGCAATCTTTACTGAGTGTGTCTGTTTAGTGGACCGTGTGTAAGTGTATTCTCTGGATAGCCAAGGTTTTAATTCATTTTTTTATAAATGGATTTTTATACATTACTAACTTCTTTTGTGTTATACTAGACATTATGCAATGAAAGGGAAAATAGGGTAGAATTAATAGACTGAAGTGCATTTTAAGATTTTCTGTTCTCAGGAAGATTTTAATCTACCTCATTTGTATTTTGCAAAGTTTTCTTCTAAAAATTTTGAGAAGATTCAACTTATTAAAAAAATTTTAAAGACATTAGGACTCACATTATTTGTAAACCAAACAAGTCCCACTAGCTTATTTCTTCTACTCTTAACAAAGATCAGTAATACTGGTCACAATTTTTTTTAAATCAGTTAGCTGTTTCTCAGGACAAAGATCTAAACAGTAAATACGCCTTTGATTTCTCAACACTAGGCACATTGTCAGCTTTTGAAGTTTTCTGCACTTTTATTTTGGGTAAAGTTAAAGCTAATGTCATCACTTTGGGAACATAATCCTGGGAGTTGGCATTGGTTCAGGAATGACTCTGAAGTTACAGAAAGTCAGCATGAAGCTGTTGCAATAGAAGGGAAATGAACATGGATAATGCCAAAGGGCTAAGTTGTTGGTCTAGCTCTCAGCCCCTGGACAAAATCTGGTGGAGGCTTTGAATTGTCTCCTGTCCTCATGTGTTCTGTTCACTTACATTTATTTTCTTTGAACCAGCACATATTATTGGTGATGTTGCTATATCATCATTGTGACCAAATGGAAAGAATAAAGACTTTCTACCAAGAAATTACATTGGGATGAAGTTGGTAAAGGTTTGGAAGCAAGGGGATAGGAGAGATAATGTCTCATCCTCATTGTGGAAAAAGAGAGAGAATGAAAGAAAAGAGTACAGGCAATGACCTATTCATATCTCACCGATAAGATTTCAGGCAAAATTCTACTGAGGCTCAGTAGCTGTCTATAGCAAAATCTCTTCCCTTCAGATTTCCCAGATTTCCACACAATGATTTATTAAGCGAATCAAAACTAGAAATAGTGCAGATACAGTGGTATCTGCGGTGCTGCACTCTGTGGGTCTTGCCCACATTGACGCTAGATTTAGCCATTTGTCCACTTGTCATGTTCTGAGAGACCCATCTTCCCAGACTTCATATCCCATTAATTTTTTTGTTGTTTTTAAATTTTTATTTTTCATGATGCAGTTCTTTAGACTCAGGGATCTCCTCTCCCACCCTTTCTCTTCCCCTGCCTCACTGTTTTCCTCCATATTAGTACAATAATACAGTCCTTCACAAACAGTCACAAGTCCATCATTCTGCTATTTAAATGTATCCTGACATTGTAGGTATAGGTAATGGTATAAAGTTCAGCATTCTATTGTCAAGATATATTTTACAGTTTCATAGGGATCCCACCTTTTATTCAGAGATAGAGATGCTTACTGTGATGTATCACCACAGTATTCTTGCCTCCTTTATACAGCTCCTCTGGATAAATAGATGTATATGCATTTTTACCTATATATCTATTGGTCTTGTATTTTGCATGAAGATTGCCTTACATCAGAGAGAATATGTGTTTGTCCTTTTGGGATGAGCTTCCATTACTTACTGATAGCTCCCATTATGAATCACTTCATTTGTCAACATCAAAAATTATTTTCTGTACCTCATATGTTAATTTTGCATGGCCGTGAAAAGTGTTCTTGTCATTTGAGAGGACACTTCTATGTCTTTTGTACCTTGGTTTTCTCTTTAGCTATTCTTAGACTGTTCATTATCACTTAACCAAGGTCTAGTTCTCTTCAGATGTGGACGATCTTTTCTTGTGACACTTGATCTAACAATAGCACTTTTTGCTCAGTGTAGCTATTACATTGCGCTCAGAATGCAGTAGTATTTGTTGATCCTAAACATCTAGTCTCTGTGTATTCTCTATGAACGTTCTGTGTACGTGAGATGAAAATCTAAGACATAGCTGACCGCCAGCCAGCGTGGATAGGCATGTTAAGGATACAGCTACCTGGATCATCCCCTTTCTTTTGTTCCTGCTTTTCTATGACTCTTAAAAATCCTGACAAATGCACAACTCCAAATGAACTATTAAGTTATCTCTTGTTTTGCTTATTTTTTCTTTAAATGTTAACTACGAGAGTTCTTTGTCATGTTTAATTACTCATTCATGCCATATCACATCAGCAGAACATCCAATTGAACGAATATGTTGTTCTCCTTGTATGCAGGGAACAAGAAGAGGGGTGCTTTGGCTTTAGTAAATTATATGCCTCACCAGCACCAGAACCACACACTGTCTTGCTGAGAAATATATACAGCAAATTATTTTCCTTTTACTTTCACGTAGTTCTCTATAGGAATTTCCAAGTGCTCCATTGCAGTGTAAAAGTCTTCCTGTGGACAGAATTTTCACATTAGTCTGGAATAGTTGGAAATTCCATATACGTGGTTTAATCCCATAATTTATTGAAGCAGTATTAGAGATGTATTATTCAACTTGATCATCAGTATGGCATGTTTATACATATTTAATTTCTTGTTTCTCTTCTCAGTTGAGAAACTTATTAATCATAAGTCTCAGAACTGTCTGCGTATTCATGGTGGTCAGGACACATTTTCTTAGATTCACTCTGCTGAATTCAGTATTCTTACTGATTTTTATTTCAAGAGGCTCAGTCTTGAGGTAAGGTTGCACCTTCTAAGAAGTTTCACTGCCAACTCTGATTCATTAAACAGATACTTTCCCTCATCATCAATCATCACAGCCACACTACATATTCTTGATTCAGCATTCAGTATTTCAGCCAAAAAAAAATCTCTTTTTGGCCATTTTGTTATAGTTCATATGCTCTCAGAATAGTGATTTTGATTCTGATATATAAGTCCGCTTGGAAACACTTGAGAGTCTCTTTCACCTTTGATTTCTGAAATTTGGAGCTTAGGGATTCAGGCTATGGATGACTGGAGCAAGCCAATTGACATTTCCTAATATTATTCTATCTTCATATCCAAAGGATTTGATTGCAATGCCATCCGTTGGTGGTAATGATGATAATCTGGATCTCTATGAACCATTTAATTAGATGAACTTGTTCTAAGACACAGTTTTTCTATGTGTGTTTACAGTGACAGGTTCTTTTAAAGGTTCCCAAGGTTTTGATCAATGCTGGTCCACTCTGGAATGTTTGTTATGGAGACTAAAATCAAAAGGTTGAATTTAAGGAGAATCATCACTTTCTGATGTCTCTGATAAAGTTGGTAATTTCAGTAGTGTATACTCCTACTTAGACACACTTTCTGGTTAGCTTTCTGATGACTTACAGGGAAATACATGGTTATAACTTGACCAATTGGGTACTGGCCACTTTATACAACAAGTTGAAAGTTCCAAATTCATTCATTTCACTTTACTTGATGATGATTTTGCATTTCTTTTCCTCCTCCTAAGCAGTGTGTTATAAATTCCCATTAGGAATGTATATTTTTAGCCTTCTTTCTGATAGCAGTAGTGCTATATTCTGATTAATAGAAGTCTGCGTTACAAAAGTGGATCCTAGGGACAGGCATTATGACACAGTGGGTTGAGCTGCCACTTGAATGACCATATCCCAGATCAGGGTGACTGTGTCAAATCCAACCTCTACTTCCGCTCTTACTACTAATGTGCCTGGGAGGCAGCAGAAGATGGCCCTGATACTCAGATCCCTACCGCACACATGGGAGACCCCAACTGAGTTACTTGCTTCTGAGTTAGCCCTGGCCCAGCCCTGGCTGATGGTGACCATTTGAAAAATGAACTGGTAGATGAAAAATCAACCTTTCTCTCACTTTTTTTTCTTCTCCTCTTCTTCCTCCTCTTCCTTCTTCTTTCCCTGTCACTCTGCCTTTCCAATAAATAAGTTAATTTTTGAGGGAAAAAGTAGGTGGATTATGTGTTTTCACAACATGTATGTTTACTTTGTAGTGCCACCACGCAACCTGATGATTGATATCCAGAAGGACACTGCGGTGGAAGGTGAGGAGATTGAAGTCAACTGCACTGCCATGGCCAGCAAACCAGCCACAACTATCAGGTGGTTCAAAGGGAACAAGGAGCTGAAAGGTAAGCCTTAGATTGCCTTGTTTGGAAGTGACCAGTCAGCACTGGATTCTAGCAAGTATGCTTTCATGGGAACTAAAGACAAGTGCAGAACATGCCCCTGTAACTACAACACTCTTTTAGAGATGGATTAGAATCACTTGCTAAATACGTCTGAGGCCAGAGCACATCTGCATTTTATTCTATCTCTTGTCTTCATTCCGTGGTTTGAGGCTCATGATATTACTTGTTCTGCAGATACCCAGAAGAGACAAAACCTGAAAACCAGAATTCTTCATATTAGGAAGAAGTTTTAATTATTCCCTGAGTTCAAGCTGTCTGTATGTGTAACTGCAATTCTCATTGCTTCAGTCCTGTCTTTTCTGCGACTCCAAGTAGGACAGGGCCCTACATTCTCATGTTACACAACTGTTTAAATATGTGACTGTCTCCCGTGGCAAATTCTAAATCATGCTGACATCTATTGAGTTGTGTTCAGTGAACTCAGAACTTTATCTTCATTGTGAGTTTTACAGAGACCAAATTTCCTGTGAAAACTATCACTGAGTTGCCTCAACTTCCCAGTGTGTTCTTTGGCTAAGTCTTTGGTTTCATGGTGCTAGTGCAAATTACTCCCTTTGCTGCTCCCATTGCATCTCCCTCAGGGTCAGGCCATCCACAGTTTTTAAGGTTTATTTATTTATTTATTTGAAATGAAGTGAGAGAGAAAGAAGGAGAAAGAGAGAAATCTTTCAAACATTAGTTCACTTCCCAAATGGCCACAACAGCTGGGGCAGATGAAGGTGAAGCCAGAATCCCAGAGGTCCATCCTGGACTCCTGCACTAGAGCAGAAGCCCGGGAACTTGGGCAATCTACGGCTATTCTCTGGCATGTTATCAGGGAACTAAATCTGAAAGGGAGCAACCAGGACTCGAACCAGTGCTTCTAAGTGATGGTGATGTTGCAGCTAGTGGCTTAAGTTGGTCTGCCACACCACCAGCCCCAGCCACCACATTTTGATTCCTGCAACCATAGCTGCTATGTGGGATAAGCACTGCAGTATTTATTGTATTTGACCTGTTTTCATCAGTTACCCTAGGTCCCTCATATTCTTTTCCATGTTGTCCTGCAAGTAGAACCCTGACCATAAGGCTTTCCTACTGATTGGACAGAAATGCTAATTGTGTGCCTCCGTTTCCTCTAAAGTGGGGGGAAATACCTTACAGGATTCTTACAAAGCGAATGAATAAGTGAATATCTGTAAAGCACTTAGCTGGTACCTGGATCAAAGTAAGTACTTGTGTGTTTGCTAAGTAAACATTTTAAGAAAAAATAAAAAGCCTTTTTAGCTAAAGGATCTACAAATCTCTATCTGGAAATAGATAAAGTTATACCAGGTTAAATTTCTAAGAACCTGTTCTGTTTTGATTTCCTATTTCTTAGGTATGGTTTAGGAAGGAAGGTTTTTCATTTTCTCTCTTCTTTTCTGCCTCAGTGAATTGAGCCGTTAAATGTGTCCCATTAAGTACAAAACATTAAAAGAAAATTAATGGTGTGCCATGTTCCAGGGAGTGCTGAGTTCAGGAGGGGGCTGCCTCGCCCTATTCATTGCATCCGGAAGCCACCTCCCTCTTCTGGGTTTTCTTGGACGGGTCTCCCGTCTGGCCTGAAGCCCTGGATCTTACTTCGCTCTAGCCCACTGCCACTGCATTTTTTGTGGTCTTCCAGAAGACTCAGAGTTTAAACATTTCAATTACAATTTCAATTATGTAAATCCATTTAGTTACTTTCCTCCTAATTGTTCATGATGGGGGTAGGCAAAGGAGGTTGTTTATATCTCTACTGCTGATTGAATTACTTAGGGGATTTGGATGATGTCCTAGAATCTTTAAGTGGCGTGACAGCCTCCTATATAGTTCAAGTTTAGATGGTTTTAGGAGTAAAAACCACTTCTTTTACTCTTTTTGCATAACATAAGCAGCCAGATGTCAAAATGGTTACACTTTGAACTCCTATCTTTAGAGGAAATTTATATAACAACATTTTATGAAAAACAGTGTAGAGACAGACATTTGGTACAGCAGTTAAGAGGATGTTTAGGACGCCCACAACTCCTAACAGTTCCTATTTCAAGTCCTAGCTCCATTTCACATCCGGCTTGCTTCTACTTGCATCCCGGGAGGCAGCCATGATGGCTCAAGTACTTGGGTAGTTGTCCCTCATGCAAAAGACACAGATTGAACTCTCAGATCCTAGTTTTGACCGGGCCCAATCTGGCTATTGAACTCATTTGAGATAAAGCGCTGGATGGTAGAGTTCTTTTTATGTCTCTTGGCCTTTCAAATAAAGTAAAAATAAATAAATTTTTAAAATTAAAAGAAGAAGCCAGACATGTGGCATAATAGCTTAAGCTGCAGCCTGCAGCACTGGTATCCCGTATGGGCCTAGTTCGTGTCCTGGTGGCACCACTTCCGATCCGGCTACCTGCCAATGCAGCTGAGGATGGCCCAAGCACTTGGACCCACGTAGGAGAAGAAGAAAGAAGCTCCTGATTCCTTGTGTCTGCCTGGCCTATCCCCCAGCTATTGTGGCCATTTGGAGAATAAACCAGTGGACAGAAGACCTCTCCCCTCTTTGTGTTACTTTTCCGCTCTCTCTCCCTCTCTCCCCCTCTCTCTCTCTCTGTAACTCTACCTTTCAAATAAATAAAATAAATCTGTAAAAAATTTAAAAATAAAACAACAATGTAGATTACTTGAGGTTCAAATGCGTGCTAATTACTGGTTCTTCAAGATTGAAAAGTATTATTGGTTATCTGTCCACAGATGACCCGATTGGCTTCCACCATACTGATTAAACAGCGTTGTTAGGGTTGGGGAGGCATTGGGGGAAGAGCGAAAATCTGACAGATGGAAATTTACCCACTTGTGTTTGCTTAATCCATTTTCTGTCTGGCAGGCAAATCGGAGGTGGAAGAGTGGTCGGACATGTATACCGTGACCAGCCAGCTGATGCTGAAGGTGCACAAGGAGGACGATGGGGTGCCGGTGATCTGCCAGGTGGAGCACCCCGCAGTCACTGGAAACTTGCAGACCCAGCGGTATCTAGAAGTTCAGTGTGAGTAGGCCAGAACCTTGTTTTGAGGGCACAAAAGAACAGCTGTGTAAAAACTCCTCTGGAACCATTTATTGGTTTCTCGCAGTGCATATAGTATAAACAGACTTTTTAAATTCCCTTTGTCTGGATAAAATAATGATCAAAGGATTGTTTTACTGAAGTCCTAGTATATTACAAAATGCTGGTGAGGAAGTGAAAATACTACAGTAAAGCCAAATGTAAAATTAAAATGATTCCAAATCTGCTTTAACATATGACTGGATTTCTTTGATTATAGACTGTCGTTTTCCAGCAAATTTCAAAATCCAAAGTAATCCTCCTCCTTTATCAGTCCTGTTGTTGACTGTTGAATTTTTTTAATAGAAGGGATTTTATTCCCATTAGGTATCAATATTTTGTTTTAAGTTGCATGCAGTCTTCTATTTTAGCTTAACTTGTCACAATGAGTTGAAAAGTAGAAGTGTTTGGGATCCCTGCCACAACTTGATGATTTTATCAATAAGAACTAGACCATAGTGAGTGAGGATGTCTCTTTACTGTGCCCTGTGAACTAAATACATTCTCTTCATCTTCTCCTCTGGGCCATTCTGATGAGAATAACATTATATTTCCTGTACATAATCATTCTTGGGCAAAGACTGTGGCCAAATACCAGCTTCTTGCCTTTTTTCAGAAGCTCCTGTAAGTTGACCTGTAAAAAAATCCCAGTGTTGTTTGAGTATGCAGAGTGGAAATATTACAAGAGTGTACTTGGGGTGACAGTCACTCCTCATTATCCTGGGACTTTTGTGACAAATCGCCACACATCTGGTGGCTTAGAACAGCAAAGATGTGTTCTGTCACAATTTTGAAGGTCCAGAACCAAGATCAGTGAGTTGGCAAGGCTGTGCTCCCTACTGTGGCTTCAAGGGAGGATCTTGTGTTTTGCCTCTTCCAGCTCCTGAGGGCTCCAGGAATCCACCTCCATCCTCATACGGCCTTCTCTTCTCTGCATGTCTCTTTCTCAAGCCACTTGTTTTTGCGTTGGAACTCACCACATAATCTCAGATGGTTTCATTTCAAACTCCTTAACTGTAGGGACCCCTTTTCTAAAGTAGACACCATTCACAGGTTCCAGGGATTAGACTGTAGACATATCTTTGGAGACAGCTCTTTCTGATCCTAACTAGCTATTTAAATAAACTGAACAAGACAGAGGGCAGAGAAAGTTATAAAAAGTTGCATCTGAAAGGCCATCATCCCATTCAAACCATTTATGAGCTTAGCTCAATTTAACATTACATAATGCAGGTTTTTCTTGCTAATTCATTTCGTCCATTTCACTATATAGCTTCATTATGAGCATCATGCTTATAATTTTCATATCACTAAAACTATTGTGGTGTAATGTCCCTATAATGGGAAAACAGAAATGATCAGATGTTATCTAAATTGGCAGATAGTAGATTTCTTGTGACTTTGCTAATATGTAATTCATTTAAGCAAACTTAATATCCATTAACTTTCCTTGTAGAGGCCCATTAGCTTTAATAATACATTAGCTCCTTTGTGAGTCCTGAGTAGATATTCACTCAGTTTACACCCCTAAACTCCTTAAGTAGTTTCTCAAAGTATCTTTTAAATAGAATATAGCAATATAGCCCCACCCACCTACAGAATTACACTCACTCCGAAATGCAAAATAATTCAGGCAGTATACCTCCTACTCCTTAGAAAATGCGAGAATGATCCATGTAAGCATTGTCTTCCATAGTCTATAGATGGAACCAGATTTCTGCTTCCAAGAAAAATATAAGGCTACATACCTGAGTCCATGTGATTTCAGTCTAACAAAGAAACCACTAGTCCTTAACTGCACGGAAATGACATCTTAGGTCCTCCAGAAATGGGCATGTACCCTACTACTGACTAGTTTAAACTGTTAACAGAAAATATTTTCATGGGAAAGTCTGTATTTTATGCAACATGCAATCACTCAAACATTGTATTCTTGATGCTCCATTTTTTGGCATTTACATAGGAAAACCACTTTCTAAAAATTTATTTATTTGAAAGACAGAGTGGCAGAGACAGAGAGAGCAAAATCTTCTGTTTGCTGGTTCACTCCCCAGATATTCACAGGAGCCAGATCTAGGCCAGTCTGAAGCCAAGAGCTAAAAACTCCATCCAGGTGTCTCCCACAGGGATGAGAGGAACTCAGATATTTGCACAATCACCTGCTTACTGTGCTGAAGAAAGTCATGTGACACATCAGCAGCCTCCATTCTGAGAGTACCATTGAGAACTAGGCAAAGTCAGTCCAGAATTTCTGAAGTAACTTCCTTAAACATGATTGGCATTCGCTGCATCATTTCCTACCATCTTCAGTCTCTTTGAACATGAGCAGCCATACGGTAGCAAAAGCCACCTGCCTCAGATGCCTGATATACTCCATCATTGGGCTTTGAAGTGTTATGGATCAATGACAGGTGGTGTCGGCAGTGCTAATTCCCCATAGCAGTTTGGTGACTGCCGACTAGCTGCACCGTAATGTCACGGCCACAAGGAAGCATGAGATTCTTATAATAATTTGTTCAGTAGCTAGCAGCAGACCTCATGCATGTAGAATTATTTTGGACACCAAGTGAGGACAAGTATTTTTAAACTGACCCGAACATAGTCAGAAGTTTTTAACCTTTTTGGTGTTTATTGACTCATTTAAAAATTCTTTGTTAGTTATAAACTTGGAAAAAATTAATAAAATCACATATTCACCACATTTGGCTCACTGTTTAAGGAGTCTCTTTTGCTCTTAGAGCTTTCCTAACTGCTTTTAGATTTTTCATTTCTATTTTTAAATATATTTTTATTGGAGAGACAAACCAGATTTACTGAGAGAAGGAGAGACAGAAAAATTTTCCATCTGCTGGTTCACTCCCCAAATGGCTGCAGCGCCAAGAGTTTAGTCAGTCTGAAACCAGGGACTTCTTCCAGGTCTCCCACATGGGTGCAGGGTCCCAAGGCTTTGGGTCATCTTCCTCATCTTCCATTGCTTCCCCAGGCTATGTACAGGGAGCTAGATGGAATGTGGAGCAGCCGGGACACAAACCAACACCCTTATGGGATTTGGTGGATGCACGTTGAGGATTTAGCCATTGCACCAGGACTTGAAATTTTTCTTAAGTCACTTAGATATTTTATCGCGACCAAAACATATGTTTGGGAAAAAAACGTAAAAGTTACGAATTTTGTTTGTTTTTATATATGTATGTCTAACAAAAATTAAAACAATTATATAGTTTTTTTGTAATCTCCTGTCCTTTATCATCTAAATAGATTTCTTATATTATCAGTGATAAACATTATCAACAGGAAATACCGAGCACTTCGCATACTCAAAATTGTCCTTTGAGTAAATAAGATGACCTTGGGACAAGTCTAACTTCATATGAATGCTGTTAACTACATTCACATCGCTTAACCCTGACCCATTTTGGGCCATGGAGGCTTATGGAAATGTCTCTCAACTCCATCCAAGACAAATGAATGTTAACCGGGATACGAATAGGGTTAAGTGAGAGATAATAGATTTGAATTCAGTATACATTGCATCTTTTTTATATGTAAGGATTTGTTTAAAAAGGAAAAGGATAGACACTAATTGTAAACTCTTAAATATCTTCAAGTATGAGGAAAAAGGAGGGATTAAAAAAATGGGAAAGTTTATACTTGTTCCTCCTAATAAACTGTGGAGCACCGCCATTATCACATAGAAGACAAGGCTTGAGCTACAACTTGGAATTGCTTTTGTCTTGTGGATTTAAGTCCTAATTAATTGAACCAGAATTGTGCAGTGTTTGCTTGCTAGTACCATTATTTGTGGTACCAGGAGAAATTGTTGTGCCCAATTATGTGAAAAATCAGCCAGATGTGTATGCTGTCATACTTTTAATAATCCTTAAGTTTTTGGTGAGTACAGATATTAATTGTGTAGTATGCATTGAAGTGATTAACATCAATGTAATTTATCATCTGGAGATTTCGGAACATAAATAAATGAGTTGTTTTGTTCAGCAAGGTGTTGACCCTTTCAGAATCAGTGAATTAAAGCCCCCCTCTTTTTATTATAAATATGAAAGGCACCACAATCAACCAAGTGCTCAGTTATTTGATTTTCTGGGGCATTAGCCGCTCTTGTTTGTGACATTTCCCTGTTGGGTGCTCGTTTGCAAGCTCATTAATAAGGTTTTCTCATAGGAACGTTGCTGGGAACGAGGAACATACAGTAGGGCTCTTGGTTTTCCAGCTTTCGTTCTGAGACGCAGCAAGGGTACCACAGCAGCCCACAGTTAACTGTTTAAAATGGAAAATAATTACATCTGCAAGCTACAATCCAAAGCTCTGTTTTCTTAGATGTTAGGTAGCAAGCAGTTTTGCTTTTTACTGTTCTTAGCTATATGACCCCAAAAATCTTCCTGTGCATATTTTTTTTTTTCCTCACAAATGCCAATATAGGTGCTGTTGGCCAAATCTACACCGTGGTTGGTTAGAACGGAATGTGACACAGTTGCAGCACAGTTAGTACAGCTTTGGATCCTAGGGAAAGCACTCTTGTCAGAAAAAAAAAAAAAAAAAAAGGCTGTTTAAACGAGAACAGTTCACTGTCTGAGCCCTAAAAGGAAGCTGTCTAAATAACATCAAGGTGGCAACACATGGCAGATAAGCCAGGAATTCAAAGAAGAGCTGTGACCCTCCGTATGGAATTCAGATTGCAGCGCACAAGAGAGGAAGGCTTTCCTCCGGACAGAGGCGAATATGAAACCCTTGAATTACTGCTGTGTGTCTTTTGATTTCACCCATCACAGCCTTGCTCTCTAAAATGTTTTGCCAAAAAATTCGCATTTTGTGAAGGTTTTTTCTCTCTGTGTGTGTGTGTGTGTGTGTGTGTGTGTGTGTGTGTGTGTGTTGTGTGTGCACGCACACACACATATACAAGAAGGAATGGGAGAGCTGAGTTTTGA